CTCATTGTCGACAAATATTGAAAATAATTTGCATCACACTGTGCTTTTACATTCCAAAACATTCGCTTTCGAATCTTTTACTATATCAAATTAATGAAAATAATTTTGTTTAAATTTTCGTTTGCATTTGCCAATTCAACCGAAGAATTTTATCTACCAAACATTTTACCCAATTTACCTGCTAAAGACAGGCATTGCTAGGACATTTCCGAGTTTGTATAATTTTGTAAAAATAAATCATTTCGTAAAGCAAAATCGAAATTAATATTTGATAAATGCACATTGAGCATAGCTTGTCCAGTGACAAATATTAATGAATGTTTGCTTATATTGTATCATAAAACCGCGATGTGATTCATTTTGTTTTGTGTGTGTGTGTGTGCAAGTGCATACAAACACATATGCACACGGACGAATGTAAGAGAATTGCATATGGAAACCGGCCATGTTGTTTGGTGTATTTTTATTAGTATTATTTTATCGTTCAATTTTCAGTTGGAAAATATAAACCGAAACCGTTGGAATTGTAATATTTCAGCGTTAATTCACGTTTTCATGTCGTATGTGCACCGAAAAACTATCGTCAAAAATGAACTGCCGCAGAACAGTTGCTTAATTATTAATTAAAATCAAATGCCACAACTTTGAAAATTCGAATGCGAATTGTGTGCGAAAAATAGCAGAGCGATAAAGTGAATGGGTACGTGTGTATGTTGCAAGATATTTACCATCGCAAATGTAGTGAGATAATATGTGTTGTTTGCCATCCAAATAGTGTTTATATCCGATCTTTTTCTTTGGTCAACAAAAAAAAGGCAACAACAAACAAATTCGGCCATGCTGAATGTGCATGATTTTTCAACAGTGTAAGTGTTTGTTGTGCGGAAAAATGATGAATTTCACGTTCGAATTCCAAAGAATAAAGGTGAAAATTCCAACCCCATTTTATGAACAAAAATGGGACATCATGCATTTTAGCATTTTTTGTCTGTCTCTCTCTCCGTTTGAACCGTTGTTACTTTATTTGCTGACGATCACATAAACGATTCATAAAATTATACGAACAATACTTTATTTCCGGCAATAGACTCTCTCTCTCTCTCTCTCTCTCTCTCTCTCTCTCTCTCGGTGCGGTATTAAAAGGATTAAAAATAACCCACAAGTGCCACGTCCGGTTATTTTTTTTAATGGCACTGCTGATTTGATACTGTAAAATATTTGATACTGTATTGCTAAATATCATCATTCAGAGAGAAATTAAATTTTTCACAATTCAGCCATATGGCCAACTATATACAGATTTTTTTTTGTCTCTGCATTCCAGTGATATTCCATTGTTTTACGACGATTTAACTATGCAATATATTCTCACAACGATGCTTGTTCAAACAGTGTGGCTGCAAGTTTTTCTCTGTGTATTTCGCCCTTTCTCTACATTTTCTCCGCTTCTTGCCGGTTGCTGGCTCGAATCCTCTTTACGTTCAACTCGGTACATACGGCAGGAATAATATCATTTTCTGTTTTTATTTATCATTGGTAAAATAAAAGTTGCTACCCGAAAGCCACAAGCACACAACGAGCAAAAACTATGAAAATATGCACTAAAATGGCAATACTCGAAACATATGTTAGATTGTAGCAATTTTATACCATATTATATTTTACAATGACATCCACGGCTAACAAATGTACGTAGTCACTTCACTCTGAATGAAATGGAGTTAAACACATTCGATAAATCTACATTTCAACGCAATAGTCCAATAAAAATATGATAATATCAAAACTGATAAAATCATCTCATTTTTATATGCTACAATTTAAAAAAATATCACATTATTATGGTGGTTTTAAAGTTTAAATCGACAGCACACATCGAATGTGTGCTTAAAATTAAAACTGGGTTATTTTATCAAATTACTTTTTCAAAGCATATATTACAAAAATATCCACATCAACCAATTTATTCATTTTCTGGAAAATTAATTTCTCTCTAGAAAGTTCTTTACATTTAATTGCACTCAACAAGTTTTGATGAATAAAAAAAACTACGTATTAAAATTTTCTTCTGAACACATTTTCGGAAAACTGTAAATTCATGGTACTCATTATAAGGCATATGGAGGAAACATTTACACGTCAAGTCCTGTCGCATGTTTAAGTTTCCGGTAATTCTGAGGTCGAGAACAAATCTCAATTCAATACACAGCATGAACATGTTTTTGCCATTTTCAAGTTTCAATATATATATAATTTTCCTGAAAGAAAAGGTGATTTTTCCAAGAAAATGTATAGGGGCAAATGATTACTTGTGGTAAGAACATTTTATTTTAAGTGACGGTGTTTTTTGAATCACGGACACTCGGTTACAAGATGAATGATTCAATCGATTGAAAAAAAAGTTTAAAGATTAACAATAATAGTGGGGTCGAATGCAGAAAGCCACTTCAAAATCTTGTTATCAAAAACACTGATAGAATGAATTGAAACCAGTTTTAACCACAAAATATAAACATTTTCGGGAAAATTATCTTTTCAACCACTTCGACGTATATTTGAGATTCATTAGTGATCGATCTTGAATAAATAGCGAATCATTAGAAAAGATGTTTACGTTTACACAAATATAAAATTTTGATTATAAATTAACATTCGAGTTGTTAATCAAATCAATAAAATGCATGAGTATTAAAACTGGCTCTTTCATAAATGACATTTTCGGTTTCCCTTGTTTTTCAAAAAAAAAAAAAAAATGTACAGTTCGATTGACATTTATCTCCACTTCCACCAACTTAGTTAATGAGTAATGTGTTAAAACCAGAAAAATGATTAATAAAAAAAATCTGGTACTGGATATGAATATCACAAGAATGTGCGATAATTTATGTAAACTTGTCAAATTTATGCAAAATGAATGGACTTAAAATGAGTCATTAGCCCCTCGAAGAATGAATACTGCTAGGTGTACTGTTGTTCAAGCGTTCAATGAAACAAAAAAGCACAGTTGCAACTTGCATTCGCATTACATACATGTAATCTCATTTATAATTTTAAACGTGTGTTTCGGAAGCAATCCTTTTCATTTTCACGATTATTGCAATTTATTGTTTGTTTGCCGTCATTTCGAGCGGAAATTTTTCGCTCCTGCTAATTTTGTACTACGTAAAATGCATTTATCATTCATGTATACGGCCAAAGTTTAAGCAATTTCTTTTGTATTTGGCTTGGATTTGATCGTTTTTAATAATAATAGCCTGCCATTGTAGTCACTTCTTTGTTTTTTCACTGGAAAACTTCGACTTCGAAGTTAATCGAGTTGATAATTATGTGTGTAGCGAACGAGTGCACACAAGAGTGTGTGAAAAAACGAGAAAGAGAAAGAAACCTACACACTAAATCGTCCAAAATGTAGTGGTGAACGAGGTAAAATATAATATTAGCCGGTTTATTTGCGATATATAGAGTGTGTTTGCGTTGTGTAAAAAAGTTTGTTCAATGGTAAAGTTCGAAAAACCGAAATGTGCATTGAAATGAGAATTTAGCCAGCAGCAAACGAAACGTTCATCATGAAATTCATAGTCAGACAGTTCAAGTTGTTATATTTAACACGAGATGATGAGATCATTAGCATTGCATTTCCGAATGGAAATTGCGTTATTGTTCCGCTATTATACGTACATGCTCAAACTTTCGCCGAGTGAATGAAAGCAAATGACGATAATGAGGTATCAGCAAATAGGAATCTTGTTAAATTACTGCAATCTAATATACCAATTTAAACAAGATTCTAACTCAAAATTAAACAATGTTCTGAAAACAAATTCAGCCAATAACGACACTCGTTCATGACACACACACATTTGATTTTGTTGTATTTCACTGTATGAATCAACCGCCATTGGAATTGCTACATGATTAAAAAAAATCCCTTTAATTCGTGTACCATCTGCATTAAAGTATAATTTCGGTGCTGTTGAGTGACCTGACATGGCGTGAAATAATAAACATGAGCAAAATAAATCAAAATACTGCAATCCAACATTTAAATACGCGCTGACATTTTTATGTACGACTCATGCAATGCGAAAAAAGCTGAATGCATTTCATCATGTCCATTTTTTTTAACTGACCACTGGTTTTACGTGGCAATTTGCCGCATTTTCATATTTACAATGCTGAAAATTCATCATTTTGCAAAGAAACCGTGTAAATTATAAATAAGATGAAAATTCAACTAACCTCGTTTTCGAATGGTTCGATCCAAACCACTTGTTCCTCTTCTTCTTCCTTCTGCTCAGTGCTTTGATCAGCGCTTGTCGTCGGTTTCGGTGGTAATAGTTGATTCTGTTCATCTGGCCAAAGACATCGTGGAATAAGAAAAATGTTCTCTGCATCAACCGAACGATAGTCACCGTGTTGCGTTTGAACATTCCTCACATTCTTTGCGCCACTTAAATCCGATACATTCACCATTTCAATATCATGCACATCGGGTGCTGAGACAGCGCTCTCTGTCGTAGCATAGGCGACACTTTCATTTTCAGCACTCATTTTGCGTTCTTTTTACAAGTTTTTTTCAGAATTTTTACACTTTCTCGGAAGAATTGAAATTATTAAATACGTTTCGGGCGCTTATAAGTTCAAAATCGAACTTAAAAATTTTCAATTGATGGTCGTCGCTAAATAAAAACAACTTATTTCGAACAAATAAATCTTGTACAACTTAAAGAAACACACGAAATCAATTTTTTTTTCCAAATTTTTATTGGTTTACAAGAGAAAAGAGTAATAGTTTTTGCTGTGTTGATCTATAATCAACTGAAATTAGAATCAAATTGAATCTAAATGGTGAACATCACAAGTGAATAACTCAAATCGGGTATTGTTTACGCCAGACTCTATATAAAACCTATATATGTTCACTACGATTTTAAATAATCACACAATTGAACTGTTTCAAATGAAAACTGGTCGAAATTTATCTCAATTAAATCAACTGATTGATTAAAGTGTCACAATAATTAATAAAAAAAATCGAAAATATATGCGGCTTGTCTGAATGTACAGTCCCACGTTGATGTTTATCAATATCAAAACAAACTTTAAGGTTATGTGCGTATGAAAGCGCGAGACGTATTTGACAATTTGTTTTGTCAGCGGCATAATTTCGAGCTATTTTATTAAAAATGCGATTTATTTTATTTTCAAATGTAGATTCTTATGTTTTGTTTTTATTAATCATGATTTCCATTAAAAAATAAAACCGTCACAGTTAAATGTGTGTGGTGAGTGGCTTATTTTGGTTGTTGTGGTTTTTTATGTTGGAAATTGCCACGATTTGCCGGGTTTCGCTGTTGTTGGAATTGGCTTCGATTTTGATTTCCACCTTGTGGACGACCCATACCACCTTGTCTTTGATTCTGTTGATTTCGGCCACCTTTCATTTCTTGACGATTTCTTGCCTTCATTTGTGCATCTTCCTTCACCATATCGATGACTTCGTCTGGAATTCGCAGGTACTTGATTGTACTACCACGAATATAACATTCAGGCATACGCCAGAAACGATCACCATCCTACAGTGGATGAAAATGAAAAAAATAATAATAATTGGAATCGCGAGACAAATTGGATTACGTACCTTTGATGTACAAATCACTTCACGCAAATTGATATTCATCCATGTATCACAGCTCACCAAATGTCCATTGTATGTTTCACCATTCTTCAATTCGACCAACTGAACGAAAACATGTAATGAAAAAAAAAGCAACGGCACTTAGAATGGTGTGCAAAGAATCACTGTAAAATCAATACATTCCACAATCGAAACATGTACTTACCATTGGATGGCTTTGAGCCGTCTTTAATAATGAGAGCGGAAGCTAAATAAGAAAAAAATCAAGCAAATAAACTCAATTTTCATTATTTAAGTACAAGAAAATTCTTTATTTACCATTTTTTCGTGAGAATATTCGGATAGAAAATCGCTTGGTTTTGAGTTGAATGAATTTGTTTTCACCGAACAATACGTTTATGTTATGAATACCATGAAATGTCACTCATTACGTCAAACAATCGCATACTGTCAAACCGAGTCTGAAACGATGCATGGTTGGACAAAATTATTGTCAACATACGTAATTAACGAATGTATAAAATTTAATTTGGAAAAAAGAACTTTCAATTGGTGTTAATGAGTTTCATTGTCTTTGCGGTTTTGGAAAATAAATTCCATTACGGTTAAATGCTTTGAGATAAATGAATGTCTCGCTTTTTTTTCACTTAAAATAGAAAACTTTCGTTTCAAATGTTTAATTCCATAGGTTTCACCCTGTGCTCACAGATAGCTGTAGATGGCGTGCACTGTTAATACTTATACAAATGACTGTGACATATTTTCAGAAAAAAAACTACGTTTTGAATGTATTGTTCGCAATTAGTTCCAAAGTTGTGCTTCGATTGTTTTGCTGGCTTTTTTACTCATATCTTCGTTTTTTATAGATAAAAACCCATAAAATATTTCACCAGCTCACTTTATTTTATTTTTTTAAATAGCTTGGGACCATTAAATTTGAGAATAGTCAGTGTGAGTTAGATAGAAATTTCAAAAGGCACAAAACATAAAAATAAAACAAAAAAGAGGTTGTAAAAAAGTGTAAACGGCAGACATTAATAAATAAAACACATACACAACATTTCGAAATGGCAAGCACTTCAAGGTAAAATTGTTTAATTCATGTCGCACGTGAAGATGTGAGAATATTATCGAGATAATTAAGTCATTTTATAGTATGATGAAATTGAGTGTTAACGATATATGACATTTTCTCATCAAATTCAGACATGAAGTTTTATCAAATAAAGTTGTGTGCTACGCACATCCCGAAGCACCACTGATTGAAGACTATCGAGCTGGTGATATGATTTGCTCCGAATGCGGTTTAGTTGTGGGAGATCGTGTTATTGATGTCGGTTCCGAGTGGCGAACATTTAGTAATGAAAAATCGGGCGTTGATCCATCTCGTGTAGGTGGTCCGGAAAATCCACTTTTGAGCGGTGGTGATTTATCGACTATGATTGGTCCCGGAACTGGATCCGCATCATTTGATTCGTTTGGAAGTATGAACACCATTGTTATCAAAGCCAATATTAATTTTTTTTCGAATTATTTTTTAAATCGTTGTTATACAATTTCAGATGCGAAATACCAAAATCGCCGCACAATGAGCAGTTCGGATCGTGCCTTAATTGCCGCATTTAAAGAAATCTCCCAAATGGCAGATCGTATTAATTTGCCAAAAACAATTGTGGATCGTGCCAACAATCTGTTCAAACAAGTTCACGATGGCAAAAATCTCAAGGGTCGTTCGAATGACGCAAAAGCATCAGCATGCTTATATATTGCATGCCGACAAGAAGGAGTACCACGAACATTTAAAGAAATTTGTGCAGTAAGCAAAATCAGCAAAAAGGAAATTGGACGATGTTTCAAACTTACACTGAAAGCGCTTGCTACATCCGTTGATCTTATTACGACCGCCGACTTTATGAGCCGGTTCTGCGCTAATTTGGGTATATTTTTTTGTTGTTGCATTTTTTTTTAAATGTCTTATGGCAGAACATTAACCGTGAATTGTATTTTAATACTTTTTTTTTAGTTTTGCCAAATATGGTTCAACGGGGGGCTACACATATCGCACGAAAAGCCGTTGAAATGGACATCGTACCTGGTCGTTCACCGATTTCCGTTGCAGCTGCGGCTATCTATATGGCATCACAGGCTTCGGAAGAGAAGCGTAGCCAGAAAGAAATTGGAGACATAGCTGGTGTTGCCGACGTAACAATACGTCAATCATACAAATTAATGTATCCACACGCAAGCAAGCTCTTCCCCGAGGATTTCAAATTCGCTACACCAATTCATTTATTACCTTCTGTGTAAACAAACATACGGATTCTATGTTTGTATTGAATATTTTTTTTGCGTCAATTTTTGAAGAAGAAATATATTTCTTTCCTTTTACTATGCCGAACATTGAGTTAGAAAATATGTTATATCGATGTATTTTTTTTTTCTTTTGAATTTGCACTTAACAGCTATATACAATGTATAAGTAAGTCTACTGGACGACCATCCTTGAAGGGCCGCTGAAATTGATACAAATGAATAAAATCAAGTTATTAGAAATCACATGATAGTTTTACTTATAACATTTAACGGAATACAAAACGAAGTCAAGTCAAGGAAATAAATATTCAAAATGGCAAATGAGCAAGTCAAAAATAAATTGACATTTATCATTATCAAAGTGATCGAGTTGAATTGGTCCGAAGTAAAAGAACGACCGTATTAGAATTATATAATGACAACATTAGTTATCGAAAAACATGATATTTATGCGTGAAAGACTTCGTTAAAAACCTGGAAGAGAACCATAGGATAGGATCATCAACAATTTCATGTAAAATGTGTCTCCATTGAGGGTTTCAATTTAATTTGAATTTTTCACGACTTTTATCTCAATTAGTTGTAAATATTTTGATTTTTATTCAAACATATTTCAGGAAATACTTACCTTGTGAATTCTAATATCAATGAGTTCAAGCAATTTCAAATATATTCGACTACAAAAAAGATATTTGATTAAAAACTGCTTAGACTTGTGTTGATATTTTGCCAAATGACGAATTGGATCTTTTTATTCAGTCAAAGTAATATTTTATGCGAAAAAATTGTTTTCTTTGAAGTTTTATCTACTGTTGAAAGACAGTCCGGCTATCGATTGTTATCATCGGTTAAAATGTAAGCTAAATGTGTAATAGCTTACATGCGTGACTCTGTTTGACCATGTACTCTGTACACCTGAAACTGATATAAATGAATAAAATCAAGTAATTACAATTCAATTCGAATTGCATCGCTTTTGAATTTAAAAAAAATCATGCGAAAAGTTAATTCTGAAATGTATTCTATTAAAAAAATCAAATGATACCTTTAGTTTTGGATAATTAGTAGCGCCACATTTTTGACATGGGACACTCTGATTTGGTTGACTGTTAATTCTGTCATATTCATCTCCACAAATAGCGCATTTATAGTATGCGCGCCAGTGATGGTTCGGCATTGTTGTTCCTTTTCTTTCTGAGTTAAGCTGAACAAAAAAAATGTCAATTGGAAGATTTGAATGTTACTTGCTTATTGTCAGAATTTGACTAATTTGCACTGGCATAATGCCAACACAACGTGTATACGCAACGATTGAAGTTGAAATTTTGTTTAATCGACTTCTGAAATATCTACAAAAATTGTTTATCACTTTCGTTGTTCATGCAATTGTTGCCAAAACGGATCAATCGTCAATATGGTATTTGCTGATGAATGAAAAATGATGTTTTCGACGAATTTCGGGTAAACAAATACTCTTGATAACGATAGCAGCGACCAATAACGAAAAGCCAAGAAAATAAATATTCAAAATGACTAATGATCATAGTAATTGAATATAAGCCGATTATATATTAAGATTGCCATATTTGCTCTTAGATTTATCTAATGACTCAATTCGATTATTATCAATAAATATTATATTTGTGCATGAAAGACTTCGTTAAGAAACTCTGGAGGAGAACAATTATTGGAAAATCAGAAAGTTCTACTGGAGATCATGTAAAAATGATCGATCAACAGCACAAAAGATTTTTAATTAAAAAATGCTTAGATTTGTGTTGATATTTTGCCAAATGACGAATTGGATCTATTTATTCGTGAAAATTATAATCATATTTTATTTGTCATAGAAGTTTTTTCTGAAAGTTTGAAGAAATTTCAATACAATTTAGGGGTACCTTCCATACAAAATTTTCGTTTTTGAGCCCTAAATTGTATTGAAATTTTTTCAAATTTCCTGAGATTGTGTATTTTGGGAAGAAAATAAGATTCACAAGATTCTATGGTGATTAAATTATTCCAGTTTTATTTTTTGCGATTTGTTGATTTTGTTTAGTTGTAGAAATTTAATCACAGTGAAAACTTGTAAATCTCATTTCCTTGCCAAACTACATAATCTCGTTTTCGTTTTTGAGCAAAAAATTGAGGTACATCTAAAATGCATTGGAAGACCAGTGTTATGAATTCATCCTCATTTGACAATTCAACAAAGTTAAACTCAATATTAAACAGTGATTGAGAATATATACAAAAAGAGTTTATCAATTTTCGATTTTATTATAATTATTCTTGCAATCGTTGTCAATACTAAATAAATATAGTGATTTTTATGTGTTTCGCATTAAATTGCATTATTTAGACAAAAGCAATAAATGAATAAAAGTTAATTATATAAATTCTCAAATTGACTGATTATTGTTGACAATAAAAGCTGTACTATCATGATTTCTCATTAACAAAGTGCTTGGATTGCATTTTCTGATGATCTCGATAACAGCAAACACTTTTCTGCTTGCCTACGCTTGAATGAATCATCCGCTAATACGACATTCATATAAACATGAATAAGAAAGACGAAATAGAAAAGATAAATCGTTTGAGAAGTTTTCAAAAAGATCTTGCAAAGTTAATCGATTTCAAAAAAGAATTTTCCGAAAGTTCCTTATGTTAAAATGCCAATATTTGTGTTGATATAATAAGTAATGACTTTTTTATTCAATCATAATAATAGTAATTGACCAAATCACTTTCTGTAGACATTTATTCATCGGTTCAATGTGGTGATTAATACTGGTTAATTACGAGGCATCTGGAAATAATATATACAAATATGCACATGAAATATAATCTCGAATAAATAATTGGAACTATTTGAATATCTTTAAATATAATTAGAAGCAAAAATATCTCAAATTTACAGGTACGACGAAAAGCGGATAATATACTTGGCCACAAAGGTGGCACGGCACTTGTGTATATGGTTGTGGTGCAACATCACTGATGCTGTATGTGTTGTTACACCGACCACATCTGTAAAACGTCCAGATATCCAACATTCTTTTCTCAACTTTAATTCGTTTGAACAAAAATTCGATTTGAATGGCTTGCTCGCGCTTTTTATTGTCGAAGAAACAACGAAAATTGCCAACGTTTGGATTTCAAATGGAAAACATGCAGTGAAGTTTGTCACTTTCTATTCAAAAAACAAACCAAATGAAGTCACTTGTGATAAACGATTATGCTCGAAAAACAGTCGAAGCCTGTATACATGCAATACTGCAGTATTTCATTATCAAAAGTGAAGATAAATAAACAAATTTTTGTTGATATTTTCAACACACGAAATCCCAGTTTATTTACTTACATCGTATATACACCAAATTCAAAAATAATAAATTGAACTACGATTTTGAATGCAAATAATTCTTTGTAAAAATGATCGATTGACTTTTTTATTGACGATTCGATAAATTTACAATGAACACTGAATAATAAAGTGAAACTATATACACAAATTGTTTATCACTTTCGTTGTTCAAGCAATCGCCAGGCGCGAACTGCCGTCCGCTGTGATGTTATGCATTTTAATAATTTTATCCACGATGGAAACGAAAAAAAGAATTGCATTTCATTTGCTTTTCACACACAAAATGTGCAATTTTCACTTTATTACAAACTTCTTAATGAAAGAAATACATCTTGCTGAATTTTTGCAGTCAGATTGCCTTAAGGAAATATGGAAAATGACTTATTTTTAAACATATTGAAAAGATGTCGCCTGAGGGGCATAGAAGGATCAACACCTTCTTTTGTGCTTAATTGAAGTTCGTAAATTTCCGGATCCCCTCCAAATATGACTGTTGTTGCATAGGCGATGGCAAACAATCCACAAGAAGTAAAATCATTTTGCATTGTCTTCGGTGTTCCATATTTTAATTTTGAATTTGGATATAAGACTTTTAGAACCTTTTTTTGATTACTATTCAACTCGAATCCTAAACTATCGTAAACGTATACTGTTTGGTGTTGATGTACGTAATGAACGCAAATGTAATGACCGACGGCATCTTCACCTCCGACATCTCCACCGGCTCCACCATACATTATCTGAACATCATCTTCGTCTGTTTTTGCATGATTCTTACATTGTTCTGGTATCATTGTTATTGAAACATCTAGTAATTTATATCTTTTCATATTTTGTGGCATTTGCCGCTGTGCTGCGTTGGCAAACTTAATAAATCGGTGAATGACATCGTCACTTAATACGGTCCATGGAGTCTTTATTTCACCCTTTATGACTGCCGCTTTACTTTTCCTGGCCGCCAATCTGGCGTCATTTTGAGCGTCATCTATACCAAATCAATAAAAATTATCAATTTGAATTTCTACAGCTAGATATATTACTATTAAAATGTTCAAAATATGCTACATGATTCTAAATGCTCAGAAAAATAAAAATCGAAAAAGAAATGTGAATCTTAAATATTTAAATAATTTTTTTAAAAATGAAATGTTCAATACTTGTGGGAGTAACATCTTGATTATATCCATATCCACCTTTACATATCAGTGCCAAAAAATCGAAGAAGAATTAGTAATTTTTAATATCTAAATCTAAAAATATTAGGATTAAAATGTTCCAAACCTGAATAAAAAGCATCGTGACTATATTCATATCCATCTTTACATATATGTACGAAAAAAATTGATATTAGAAAAGTTTTGATTGTATCATTTTAAATAAAACTATATTTTTCTCCAACTACTTACTTGATGATCCAAATGAAGTATCAAGATTTCCCATACCGGCAGTGAGCGATGACATATCTAAATTTATCGAAATAGAAAAGAAATTTATTCGTGGTTTTTATTTTGCAAAAGAATCAATTTTTTTTCTTCCACTAATTACCATAGCCACTGTTATATTGGCTACTTTCATCATAGCCGTAGTTAAAATTTCGTCGAGAGCCTCCATTTCCTTCTGCTATTTTCACCGTTATTAGGATCTGACGAAAATTGAAAAATTGAAAGAATCTTTCTTTTTATCATCACACACTATTTATTACCAGTGCCAAAAGTAGCCCAAAATATACAACCGAAAACGTCATCTTCATCACTTTTCGTTATGAATACGTTAATGAATTGATTCTGAAAAATGTTCAATATTTATACTGTTTGGTGAAGTAATTAATTTTTTTTATTTTTTCCAAATCGACAACAGCGATGATGTAAAACAACATGTATTTTTCAGAAAAATAAGTGTGTTTGGCTTGACGCGTGAATTCCTTAGACAATAGCAATGTTTATATTATAAAACGAAATGCCATTCTTTTGGCTTTAACTCCTCCCACAATTTTCAACCGACGTCAACTAAACTTTGCACACTTATACTTTGAACCGGGCTTTGGGTCACCATGAGGTTTTGGACCAAATTGGACTACTCCATCACGGTCGATTTTTATTTTTTTAATATTTGTGTGAAGGATTTCAAAATGTGAAAATTTCATGGTCAAATTCGGATTCCTCGGCCCAAAATTAGGGGCAGTTTTGAAGTCTGTTTAACAACCATCGTGGTCTAATATGAGTTAACACGTTTTATCACGGACCGTGATTCACGGTTAGCACGGTTTAATATTATGATCTAATACGACTCAACACGGTTATGAGGTCGGAACATCATGAAGGCCCTAATGTGTTTATAATTCTAAGCCATGTGAATTAATTCATCATTAACAAACTAATGCGCGTAAATGCATACTTCAATCATCTCATGAATTCTCCTTTTAAACATGAACATACATTCCAAAACTATTATTTTCGAATATACCTTGATCAGGAGTGTTTTTTATATATATATATATATTTTTTTTCAAGGAAGACTTAATAGAATATCTCATGCCATTTTTGCATTCAATGAATAAGAAGCAGTTTTCTTCTTCTCCAAGTTCTATTGGAGATAATGTAAAAATGATCGATCGACAGCAAAAAAGATATTTGATTAAAAAATGCTTAGATTTTGGTTGATATTTTTCCAAATGAAGAATTGGATCTATTTATTCAGTCAAAGTTATATTTTATTGGACAAAATTGTTTTCCGTAGAAGAGTTTTCTATCGTTGAAAGACAATGGCAATCAGTTCTTGTCATCGGAAAATTGAAATACCTGAAATTAAAATACAAATAAATAAAATCAAGTGATTGGAATTCAATTCGAATTGAATCGCTCTAGAATTTTAAGAAAAAATCATGCAAAAAGTTAATTCTCAAAATGTATTAAATTCAAAATAAAATCAAATACCTTTATTCCTTATATCGGATTATTAGAGGTGCTACATTTTTGACATGGAACACTCTGAATTGGTTGAACGTTAACTCTTCCGTATTCATATCCACAATTGGTGCATTTATAATGTGAAATCCAGCGATCCGACATTGTTGTTCCTTTTCTTTCTGAGTTGAGCTGAACAAAAAATATAAATTGGATAATTTGAATTTAACTTGCGTACTGTCCGAATTTGACTGATTTGCACTGCATAAAGCGATCATTTTATACACAATGATTCGATAAATTTACAATGAACACTGAATAATAAAGTGAAACTATATACACAAATTGTTTATCACTTTCGTTGTTCATGCAATCGTCAGGCGCGAACTGCCATCCGCTGTGATGTTATGCATTTTAATAATTTTATCCACGATGGAAACGAGAAAAAGAATTGCATTTCATTTGCTTTTCACACACAAAATGTGCAATTTTCATTTTATTACAAACTTCTTAATGAAAGAAATACATCTTGCTGAATCTATTTTGGAAATTTTTCTAGCAAATATCAGTTAAATGAAAACAGTTGAATTTTTGCAGTCAGATTGCCTCAAGGAAATATTGAAAATGACTTATTTTTAAACATATTGAAAAGATGTCGCCTGAGGGGCATAGAAGGATCAACACCTTCTTTTGTGCTTAATTGAAGTTCGTAAGTTTCCGGATCCCCTCCAAATATGACTGTTGTTGCATAGGCGATGGCAAACAATCCACAAGAAGTAAAATCATTTTGCATTGTCTTCGGTGTTCCATATTTTAATTTTGAATTTGGATATAAGACTTTTAGAACCTTTTTTTGATTACTATTCAATTTCATTCCTAAACTATCGTAAACGTATACTGCTTGGTGTTGATGTACGTAATGAACGCAAATGTAATGACCGACGACATCCTCACATCCGACATCTCCACCGGCTCCACCATACATTATCTGAACATCATCTTTATCTGTTTTTGTATGATTCTGACATTCTTCTGGTATCATTGTTATTGAAACATCCAATAATTTATATCTTTTCATATTTTGTGGCATTTGCCGCTGTGCTACGTTGGCAAACTTAATAAATCGGTGAATGACATCGTCACTTAATACGGTCCATGGAGTTTTTATTTCATCCATTATAACTGCCGTTTTACTTTTCCTGGCAGCCAATCTGGCATCATTTTGAGCGTCATCTATACCAAATCAATAAAAATTACCAATTTTGAATTTCTAAAACTAGATATATTACTATTAAAATTTTCAAAATATGCTACACGAATCCACATGTTCACAAAAATAAAAATCGAAAAAGGATTGTGAATCTTGAATATTTAAATAAAGAAAATGTTAAAATAAAATGTTCAAAACCTGTATAAGATGCATGTTGACTATATGCATATGCATCTTTACATATCAGTGCAAAAAAAAACATAAAAATTAGTAATGTTGAATGAGTAAAACGAAAAATCTAAAAATATTAATATTAAAACCTGAAGGAGGAGCTTCATGACTATATACTTGTCCACCTTTTCGTATTAATATGAAAAAAATAAAAATCAAAGAAATATTAGTAATAGAGTTGACGTGAAAATGGAAAATATTAATGTTAAAATGATCAAAACCTGTATAAGGAACATCATAACCATATCCATATCCACCTGTAAAGGTAAATATCAATTGAAAAAAAAAAAAAAATCTAACTAAAAAACCTCGAACGAGCAAATTCAAACAAACTGTATTTTTATCATCTTACTATATGATCCCGATGAAATTCCAAGGTTAACATTTCCGAGACCGGCAGTGATCGATGAAACATCTATATTGTACGAAATAGAAATTTAAAAATGATTTTCATTTTGAAAGCAATCTCTTTTTCTTCCACTAGTTACCATAGCCAAGATTTTTAGCCACTCGCCTAAAACTTCCAGTTGTGTAAGAGCCGCTATATTGCCCACTTTGATCATTAACGACGTTATTATTGCGTCCAGTCTTAATTTTTCGAAGTCCTGTTCCTTCTGCTATAGTCACCATCAATAGGATCTGTTGAAAATAGAAACAATGAAAGTATCTTTCTTTTTATCAATCACACACTATTTATTACCAGTGCCAAAAGTAGCCCAAAATATACAACCGAAAACGTCATCTTCATCACTTTTCGTTATGAATACGTTAATGGATTGATTCTGAAAAATGTTCAATATTTATACTGTTTGGTGAAGTAATTATTTTTTTTTATTTTTTCCAAATCGACAACAGCGATGATGTAAAACAACATGTGTTTTTCAGAAAAATAAGTGTGTTTGGCTTGACAATTATACACGTGTTTGTATTTAATTCATCAACACGCAAAGTAATACGCGTAAAAAAATAGTAAAAAAAATCCATAATCTAATCATCTCATGAATTCTCCTTTTAAACATGAACATACATCCCAAAACCGATCTGTTGCCAGCTGTTATTATCAAACATACCTTGATCAGGTGTGTTTTTATCAGAGATTATACAGTGGATAGAAATATTTTAGTGCATATTTGCCATCAAATAGAAATATGCGATATTCGCAATATATCTCGTGAGATGTATGTGCGTCAGTTACGAAGACACGAAGAAACACAAGTACCTTGTGTCCGATTCTTTATTCCCCTTTTTAATCTGCCTGCTATGTAGCGTCATACATGCGCGCTGGGGGGTTTCCGGTTTGACCCCCACTGAGGCAAATTTCTCAAAATTTACCCTCGGGTAAAGTTTTAGGAGATTTACCCCCTTCTGAGAACTCAGATTAACAATATAAATGTATAAACAATAGCAAAAGTACACTTCGCTCGCCAACACGCATTTTTACTTGTTTTTCTCAAGCAAAATTGATATTTTAGTTTTTCATATAAATTTTCATGGAAGACGTAATAGAATATCTCATGCCATTTTTGCATTCAATGCAAATTCAGAGAACCTGAATCAGGCCGTTTTGAGCATGGTTGTTGTGGGTCCGTTCCAAGTGTTTCAAAAATAATTTTTATGGCAAAATTAACTTCATACATATTTTTTATAGTGTTTTGTTTGAAAATAGAATGCTTTCAAATGTCGTACAAATGGGTTCATCATGAAAGTGTGAAAATGTTTAGCATCGAACTTTATGCCGCTTGAAAGGCTTGAAAAATCGAACAAATATTATTTTGAACTTACTTAATAAAATAGACAACTACCACCGTGCAGAAAAGTTCGTCTTACTCCCGTAAGACTCTTTATTTCTCCTGAAAGTTCTATTGGAGTTAATGTAAAAATGATCGATCGACAGCACAAAAGATATTTAATAAAAAAATGCTTGGATTTTGGTCGATTGGATCTATTTATTCAGTCAAAGTTATATTTTATTGGACAAATTGTTTTCCGTAAAAGATTTTTCTATTGTTGACAGATAACGGCAATCAATTTGTTATCATTGGTTGAATTGTGTAACAGCTTACGTGTATTGCAGTCTTCGACCCTGATCGAACCGCAGCTGTGATTGATACAAAAGAAAAAAATGAACTAATTAGAAATCATGCTTGAAAAACAATGCATTCCTTCCATACCTCACAAAGTGGATAACGTGGATAGCGACATATTGGACATGGATGATCCTGATTTGCACGCGTGTTTATTCTGTTGAATCTATATTCACAGGCTATGCATTTATAGTATGCATGCCAGCGATATTCACGATCGCCCGATATTGTTCCCGGCATTTTTTTACTTCTCTTCAATTTCAGCTGAACAAAGATGTAATATGTTGAATGTTGTCTTCGTTGTTGTCTAGAAGTGATTATTGTTGCACTGCATTAGGTTGCACCTTCGAATTTACTCTGATTTGACGATTCAACAAAATTACGCTCAATATTAAACAGTGATTGGAAATGTATACAAAAAGAGTTTATCAATTTCAACTTTATTATTCTTGCAATCGTTGCGAAAATTGAGCAAATGCCAATATGTGGTGTTCACCATTATACTGTCACTTCTGGAAGATTTGTGTGCAATATAATTCAATGCGATGAATTCTTGTTGATAGTGATGGCATTAAATTTACATTATTTAAACAGAAGCGATTAATAAACAATAGTTAATCATATATATTTTCAAATAGAATGATTTTTGTTCATATAAATACAACGATGATTTATCATTTGCAAAGTGGTTGGATTGCATTTTCTGAGGACCATGATAACAGTAAACACTTTTTCGCTTGAATAAAGTGAATCATCCGCTATTTTATTTCTTTCAACTTTTGCTTGAATAAAAGTGCATCTTTCAAGATTTTACTTTCATTCCACTTAAAAAGAAACTTAAATTCTGTTTTTTTTTTAATGCAAACAATTATTTTTTCAAAGCATTTTATTTACAAACCATTTCTTTTTTTTAAATTAAAGTATGTCTTTTCTAATCAATTGACTCAATTGAGTTCATGATTTTTCGTTTTTTTAATTTCTATAAAATAATATTGTGTTTTCATTTATCCTCTTCACCTCTTATTTTACTGGAATTTGTTTTATAGTACAGACCAAAAAGGTTCCACATATAATATGCATTTAATATGTGTATGCATTTTACTCAATATATATTAAAAAAGAAACGCACAGAGTGATGTTTAAATTTTGTTATGCATTCAATTTATTCATTAAATCATAATAATATTAATGAAAAAAATGGTTTTCCATAGGTTGAAGCGAAAGTCATTATTTCTCATCCGATGGACGTTTAGCGAATTTTTTTACGAAGTATGGCAAGGAATTATTTCCCCCTATGATAATGGCGCTAAATTCAATCGAATAAAATAAAATAATTAGATTTCAATTCGAATTTACAATTTAATATTGACAAATCGTTCTCACTTACGCATATCGATCCGGATAATTTACCCTGCCACATCTTGGACATGAAGAACTCTGGTGCAGTGCAGTTTTTATAACGTTATATTCAGCACAGCCGATATTGGTGCATTTATAATGCGAGAGCCAGTGATCGTCCGACATTGTTATTCCTCTTCTTTCTCAATTGAGCTGAACAAAAAATTTAAATTGGAAAATTTGAATGTTACTTGCTTACTGTCCGGATTTAACTAATTTACCTGAAATAAGGCGATTCTTTTATGCACAACGATTGAACTCAACATTTTGTTCAAACGACACACGAACGATTGGATAAAATTAAAATAAACATTAAATCATGAGTGAAAATATATACAAAAATTGTTTATCACTTTTATTGTTCATGCAATCGCTACCAAAACTGATCAATATGGTATTTACTGATGAATGCATTTTCGAAAAGTCATAAAAATAAATATTCAAAATGACTAATGAGCAAGTCGAAAATAAATTGAGATTTATCATTATCAAAGTGATCGAGTTGAATTTGTCCGAAGTAAAAGAGCAACATTATTTCTGCTTAGATTTATTCTCTGATAAGATCATCAGCAATTTCTTGTAAAAATGAAGATTTGAATTTTTATTTACGAATTATTACTTCTCATCTCAATTATTTGTAGATGTTTTTGATTTTTATTCAAACATTTTTCAGGAAATACATACATCGTCTAATACTTTTACAAATGAGTCCAAGCAATTTAAAATTTATTCTCTCAATTATGGCTAATTCAATTTTTTTGGTTGATATCGTTTCTTATTCCTCAACTTTATAATAAAGTAAGGTTTTTTTTCTTTTTTTTTCTTTCTTGTTAATTCGTGATCGACCTCAAGATTACCTCAAATTTACTTACTTAATATTCGAAAAAAAAAATTCCCAAACTTTTAAATCAAAAAAAGTTCTTCTAGAGATCCTGTAAAAATGATCGATCGACTACACAATATGAAAAATGATAATGAAAATGCGTTAGATTTATGTTAATATTTTGCCAAATGACGAATTGGATCTATTTATTTAGTAAAAGCTATATTTTATTTGACAAAAATTGTTTTCCATAGAAGCTTTTTCTACTGTTGAAAACAACGGCATCATCGGTTGTTATCATTGGTTGAATTGTATGTGTAATAGCTTATATTCGTGGCTTTGTTTGACCATTCTTGAAGGGCAGCTGAAATGAATAAAATGAAGTGATTAAAAAACAATTCGACTCGAGTCGTTCTTGAATTTCAAGGGAAAGTCATGCGAAAAATAATTTTTAAAATGTATTTAATCCAAAATAAAATCAAATGAGAGTTTTACTTACATCGTGTATTGGATAATTAATGGTGCCGCATCTTTTACATATGGCGCTCTCATTTACGTGTGTGTTTATTCCATTTTGTTCATATCTACAATCCATGCACCTATAGTATGCATGCCAGCGTGCATCCGACATTGTTTCCCGATTTTTACTTCTCTTAAATATTAGCTGAACAAAAATATTGAAGGTTGCTTGCTTGTTTTCTGCAAATGGTTATTTTTGCACTGCATAATGGCTCTTTTATACACCATTATCGGAACCAAAATTGCAAACGTATTAATTTTGAAAGGAAATTACCATTCACTATGTCTCGAAATTTTGTTTAAACGAAACCCAAACAAACGAACACGATTACTTTTGAAAATTTGCCAATACTTCAGAAAAACACAACCAAAGCAACACATTGATAACGAACTCATAAATTCAATCGCGTTTGGCGATGTAAAAATATTAATCCAATATTAAACAGCGATTGAGTACAAAAACGGTTTGATGATAAACAGCGATAAATTTATTAAGTGATGTTACTCAGAAAGTATAGCGATAAACAAATGATTATTTGTCACGAATAAATCATCGTTGTATTCATTCACTTTCATTCAGCCTCAAAAAGAGTAATTCAATTATGATATTTACGCAATTTCATTGCAAACCATCTCCTTGGTTAAAATTGAAATGAGTTAACTTGATTTTTCAACAAGTAAGAAGATGTATGCAATTACATGTGATCATTTGAGAAAAGAAAAAAACTTGTTTTAGTAAAAAGAAACGGAAAAAATAGGCTACAATATGTAATTCAAATAATTGGCAACATTATAAACACTGAAAAAATGCACATATGGCAACACTGACTTTGACAGGTCAACGCACAAATGTCAAACAAAACACATTGAATATACGTCGATGCTTATAATCTTGTTTACAAAACGTTTACAATTCATCGCGAATTTTAAAGAAAATTGTTGTGTTTTTATAGGTAAGAATCAGTAACCGTACCATGGCGGACAGTAAATCATCGCGAAGACGTAAATATTCGACTAGTTCGAATAGTAGTGTGGATAGTGCTGAAGATGAACGCCGCAAAGATTTGAAGGAAAGAGATGAGTTCGCCAATCGATTACGAAAGAAAGATGAAAGCCACACGAGAAAAGTTACCGAGGTAAGTATGCATGCGATATTAAATAAAATGAATGTAATTTCATAATTATGTGTATAATTATAGGCATCGGGTAAAAAGGGATACGAAGAGGCGGCAAAACGGCTTAAAATGGAACTCGATGATCGAGACAAAGTTGTGCCAAATTTGCGGTTACAATCTCGTCGGATTTATTTGGAAAAGCGTAAAGAGGACAAAGTGGCCGAATTGGAGGCAGACATTCAAGATGACGAATATCTCTTCAATGAAGAAGTGTAAGTAACTGGGTCATTTCATATCATTTATAAATATCGTGCATTAATTGGAACATGTTATCTCTCGTACAGTTTGACACAACGTGAAAAAATTGATCGTGAACACAAGAAACAATTGCTGCAAATAGCCAAAGAACATGAAAAAGCCCGTGAATTGGAACGAGTGCAGCGCTATCATATGCCACAAGATAGAAAAAAAGGCGAAAAAGGTAAAATATAACAACAAGTATGATTCATGTGATTTTTCTTATAATTTTTTTACTTTTTTTGTAGACGATTACTATGAGGTCGATGAACGTGAAAAATTGCCAAATTCTGAGCAAAAGAAATGGGAAAGTGAACGATTGGCGTCAGCAATGTATAAATTTGGCGCCAAAGATGCGACCGAGAAACAAAAACAACAAGAGGAATACGATCTGCTTTTAGACGACCAAATTGAATTCATTCAGGCAATGACAATTGATGAGTCGAAAAACAAAGAAAAAATTGAACCTCCAATTTCGGAAACACAAAAGAAACGCATGGATATCAAAGAGACAAAGGAATCACTGCCGGTATATCGGTTTAGGGATGATTTGATTGCAGCCATACGTGAGCATCAGGTAAACAAAAATGAAATTGCTGTTTCATTTGACGACTTTGCTAACAAATCTTTGTTTCTAATTAGGTCTTGATCGTCGAGGGAGAAACAGGAAGTGGTAAAACGACGCAAATTCCCCAATACTTATACGAGGCAGGTTTTACCCAAGGTGGCCAAAAAATCGGTTGTACTCAACCAAGAAGAGTGGCCGCAATGTCTGTATCGGCACGTGTTGCCGTTGAAATGGGTGTCAAATTGGGAAATGAAGTTGGTTACAGTATTCGATTTGAGGATTGCACCTCCGAACGAACGGTTTTAAAATACATGACCGATGGTACATTGCATCGTGAATTTTTGTCCGAACCGGATCTTGCGTCGTACAGTGTTATGATCATCGATGAAGCTCACGAACGCACTCTGCACACGGATATTCTATTTGGTCTCGTAAAGGATATTGCACGTTTTCGTCCCGATTTAAAATTGCTCATTTCCAGTGCCACGTTGGATGCTGAGAAATTCTCTCAATTCTTCGACGATGCACCAATATTTCGCATTCCCGGTCGAAGATTTCCGGTAAATACTTTTCATTATCAATCAAAACACAATGTTTTTAATCTATCATTTTTCGTTGAATAGGTTGATATTTACTACACAAAAGCACCCGAAGCTGATTACATCGATGCATGTGTTGTGTCTGTCTTGCAAATTCACGCAACTCAACCACTTGGTGATATTTTAGTCTTTCTCACCGGTCAAGATGAAATTGAAACCTGTCAAGAAATGCTACAGGACCGTGTTAAGCGTTTGGGTTCAAAATTGCGAGAACTACTGATTTTACCGGTCTATGCAAATTTACCAAGTGACATGCAAGCCAAAATCTTTGAACCCACACCGAAAAATGCGCGAAAAGTTGTGTTAGCAACAAATATTGCAGAAACTTCGTTAACTATCGACAATATCATTTATGTAATTGATCCCGGATTTGCAAAACAAAATAATTTCAATTCGCGCACGGGAATGGAATCGTTGATGGTGGTGCCGATTAGTAAGGCGTCGGCCAATCAACGTGCTGGTCGGGCCGGACGAGTGGCAGCGGGCAAATGTTTCCGCCTGTACACAGCCTGGGCATATAAACAAGAATTAGAAGACAACACAGTACCCGAAATTCAGCGCATCAATTTGGGAAATGCAGTTTTAATGCTCAAAGCACTGGGTATCCATGATTTAATTCATTTTGATTTCTTGGATCCACCACCGAACGAAACGCTGGTACTTGCTTTGGAACAATTGTACGCTTTGGGAGCGTTAAATCATCATGGCGAACTAACTAAATTGGGCCGACGAATGGCTGAATTCCCGGTCGATCCGCTGATGGCAAAAATGTTAATCGCTAGTGAAAAGTATAAATGTTCTGAAGATGTTGTTACGATAGCTGCCATGCTATCGGTAAATTCATCCGTTTTCTATCGGCCGAAAGACAAAATAATTCATGCCGATACGGCGCGGAAAAATTTTAACGATCCAAATGGCGATCATTTGTCACTACTCAACGTGTATAATCAATGGGTTGAAACCGACTACAGTACCCAATGGTGTTATGAGAATTTTATACAATATCGTTCGATGAAAAGAGCTCGTGATGTACGCGATCAGCTGGTGGGTTTGATGGAGCGGGTTGAAATTGAAATGGTTTCATGTTTACCCGAAACGATTCCGATTCGAAAAGCAATTACAGCTGGTTACTTTTATCACATTGCAAGATTGTCAAAAGGCGGCAATTATAAAACGGCAAAGCATAATCAAACCGTTATGATACATCCGAATTCAGCATTGTTCGAAGAACTGCCCAGATGGGTGCTGTATCATGAATTAGTGTTCACAACGAAGGAGTACATGCGGCAAGTCACCGAAATTGAAAGCAAATGGCTGTTGGAAGTGGCACCACATTATTACAAACCAAAAGAATTGGAGGATTCAACGAATAAAAAAATGCCGAAAACAGTTGGTCGGGCAACAAAAACAGAATAAATTGTGTATATTGGATTAAATTTAGAAAATATTAAATAAAATACATTTAAAAAAAATTGGGTTTTTTCTTCAAATTATTTTAACAAAATTATGCCTAATAATTTTAATCTCGTTTTCTTCGCATAATTCTCCATCACATAAAATTTGAAAAAAAAAAAAAAAAAAAAAAAAATAGAAACACACACTGGAATGAGTTTTGTTAATTTTAATTTTATTATTTGTGACTATAATAATTTGTAAATTTGATTATAAATTTATGCATACATGCATATGTCGTTTCGAATAAGTTGCATAGTTCTAACTGTTTCATAGTATCTCCATTTAATATCGAATAATTTATATTGTGTGGATAATTTTCTCATCGATTTTGGATTAATTTGTCTTCATATTTGTAAATGATTAATATTACATGTTATTTCGTTTCATTTTTTTTTGTTAGCAAATCGGTGTATGAAATTTCGTTTATTTTGCGCCGTTAAAAAATGTGTCAAAAGCTATGGGACTACAAAATCTCGTTACTGTGGAAGATTTTTTTGCATTATGAAAAAATTGAAAACACTACAACGGTTTTGGAATGAGAATTTCGAAATGCGGGTATTCTAATAATGATTTGGCATAAAGGTATTTCTCGCTCTACATTGAGGAATGTGGCTAAAAGGAATTTCAGATGCTACTTTTGATATTAAATTCTAATATTATTACGCAATAGTTCGTCGGCAAATTTTTGTGCTATTTTTTTCGCAATTTGTACAAATTCCTACTACAAGTGCTTAAAAAAGTGACGCTTTCGAATCTATTCGGTACTATTCTCTGCAAATAAGAAACAAAATACACATTATCAAAATTGTGCGTTGTCAAAACGGGTATTTTCATATTTTGAAGATATTAATCTGTTCAATGCTGTGGTCGTATTGAAGTTTTGTTTCATAATCGATAAAAAAAATGTGTTGGTCACTTTGACATATATATCGCAAACAATTGGCCTAATTTCTTTTCAAAAGTTAATTAAAGTTTTTCCGATAGTACCTCCGATCGTTTTTCGTGAATCGAATGTGTTTTTAATGATACGAAAGACACAATTTTTTTTTTCAAATATTATGTTCAGTGATTCCACGTAGTTGACATAATCTATGACATAAATTATTCCACACATAATTTTGAATAGAATTCAACATAATAACAACTCTTCTTAAAATTATTAGTATCACAAAAATCGGAAACAAATAAAATAATAATTGAACCGTCGAACAAAAAATTTACATGAAATAAATATAGGTGGATTCCAAAAACCATTCACAAAGACAACGGTGGCAGGTAGATGTATTGTAGCAGTATAATATAGAAAAGCAACCGTGTAGCGGTGCAAATTCTTCAAATCACGATAGAAAACGTTGTTTTCCACTTTTTTTTTGTCTTTGTGAGGAATATCCTGACTAGTTTCGTTTTCGTCAAAGTAGCGTAATTAGTGGCAAAATATAAAGTGGCGTTTTGATATACACCAATAATAATTGTCACAATGTTTAGTAAATAGTTCTCTCTTTATGAATACGTTTGAATTTTTCTTTTTTGCACATAAAAATGGATTATTATTTGTTTTGTGAAATTCGAATTTCTATTTGGATTTGTTTTATCACTTTATTGTCCGTCCAAAAAATGATCGGATTTGTGCGTGATTTCTATTTATCCAGATCGATCACCATTCAAGGTCAAAGTTGAACCTCCGCAGAATTTCTCTGCCATCAATGAAAGAATTTGTTCGAGTTTTGTGTGACGTTCAGCAGCTGGTGCTAATGATCCTTTGCTTCCCCATAAGAATTTCATTTGGAATTCAGTTCTGTAAAGAAATTCATTCAATAAATTAGTTGTCTATGCTTTTCTCGTAAAGAAAAACTGTGTTCTTGATAATTTTGTGCGATATAGTATTGTTTTCTGTATCTAAATGCCTTGAATTATTCCATTGACAAAAAGTGGAGTAAAATACCTGAATGAATCTTCGAGCAACTCATCGATACGATTGTCGGTTAAAACAGCTTGTGCGTTTCGTCGATACATTGGAAGATTTTTGATAAAATTTCGAAGAGAATCTGTAAATATTCGATTTAATTAGGTTTAGAAAAAAATAGGTTCAAAGTAGATTATGTATTAGTATTATTGGCCGTACCTATGTGTGCGAAAACCGTTGATAAACCAAAATCAACTGAACTATTTTCCCAAGGTGAGATGCAAACCGTTATTAAAGAAGACGGTGGCCCAATTTGATTCATATCTAAATAATGAACGGAATGTTTCAGTATATTAAAGGGTTCTTCAGAAGTTAGTTCTCTACTTTCACAATTTATCCTTTTCACATTTATGGCTACACGGCATTTTCATACTTGAAAAAAAAACTTATGTGTACTTTAACATTTTTCTACAAGAATAACAACTGCACTTCCATATTACATACTCGTTAGCATGGAAGGTACCATCGGGCATACAGTGTAGCAGTAAATGTGTGATAAACTTAACTTGACAGTTGAAAGTTTTATTGAATTTGTGATATGTGATTTTGGAATTGTTGGAAAAAACTTTTAAATTATTTGAAATTCACTTACGATTAAGCATATCGGTAACATTTCGATCTCTCAATAGAACATATGGCAAAATATGCGGAATGGTTGTATTTGGCGCCACTGGATTTGTGCAGCTATTCATATTCTTCCATTGTGGTCTTAGTTTTGCTTCAAAATTGAATGCGCTGTCGGTGTATTTCTGTCGTAACATATACCAAGTTGACTGCAATCGTTCAATCTAGAAGAAAAACACAAATTGGACTTAGTGCATGTTTGCAAATAGACAATTTAAAATAAAATGCATTAAATTAACAAACCTGTGGCATACATAGTCCCAGCATAATATTGCTGAAACCATAAAGATTACCAAGTGCTGTTTTCGTGTCAATGGCAATCTGAATCCATTTATTAAGTGTTTCAGTTCGTTCGGCATCATCTGAGCACGTTAAAACTGTGACAGCAATTAATAATCGTATACATTCGGTACGTTCAATTAAATCTTTTCTAAATTGTTCCCCATGGTCTAAGGTAATCAATTCAATGCCGCTACAGTTGAAAATGCTTTGTTCGTTGTGTTCAGTCTTGGCCGGTTCGTCCAATAAAAGTCGAAAATCGATGCGACTCATATGATTTGCAATAACTCTTGGTGCTGTTTCGCTCAACATGATTCGTATGGTGTTCAATGCATCATTGTCCAGAGGTTTATTTTCGATGGCTGGCAACAAAAGTGTGGTAAAGTTTTCCAAATCAAATTTCGAGCATTGTTCCAGTTCTGGTATTTCTAGTGCCATTAAATTGTTTTCAATTTCGGTACTATCGAATTCGGCGTAACTTTTTAATGTTGTTGAAGAAGCCGAATTCGATAAGAATTTTGGATTACGAATCACAACACCAGTGACACGTTGTGGTTGTTGAAAAGCACCTTCTGCAAGTGAATCATTGGCAGCCGAACTTTGTGCCGAATCACCCGAGCCATTACCAGAATCTGAACCGCTTGCATGATATGAAACGAGACGATTAAACTGTGGCCCACCATCCAATGGCAGATCTTTGAGTGTCGTTGTACTGTCATGTCGTAGATTTAGCATTGAACGATTTGGTTTCAGCGGCGGTGAGGTGATTCGTTCATCAGTTGGTGTGGTTACCTCCTCTTCCTCTTCGAACTGTTTACGAAATGTCGTCCGATTGACTGTGCATCCATCAAGACTACCGTCACGCGTTAAACTGGCCGTTCGCGAATGTATTAAAGTACGTTGAATACCACGAACGCCATTATTTGTATTACTACGAGGCAGAGACTGTGTGCTGACACTGTGATTGATGGGCGCATCGAGTGATGTTCGAGACAACGATAAATGTCCAATATTTGCACGGTTGAGAGCATCGGTTGAATTTTCATTTGGTGAATCCACCACATCTTTGGCATTACTATACTTATTATCGAGAATTAAATTCTTTTCAAACTTTTTGTTGAACGATCCATTCAGTTCGCCATTTTTCGCTGTAAACAAGTGAAACGAAGAAGTTTTAGACAAGAGAAGAATCAAGAATTTTATAAAACCAGGTCGAGTTGAACGGTTTAATTTATGTTTTACCTCGTATAATACCATCGGCACTGCAATATTTTTCGTTTAAATTGCGCTTAGTCGAGCAAGCAGTCATTGTTTGACCCGGTTGAACGGGTGTCAGCGAATGTGATCGTTGCTTTTTTGTCGGTAGCCGTGGTGGTATATCTCGTTTAATATGCGGTGGGGATGATCGTGGACTATGATATGAATGATTAATGCCAATTAGTTGGCTATACGATGGATATCTAATGTTCGATTTTTGTTTTTCATTCGATTTGGTTTTGATTTAATTTTGAACGATGTGGTGGATAAAATTTGGAAAAAAATTTAAATAATTGATTGAATTTTGGAGCCAATTTTATAAGAGATAACATGCAATGAAAAACAAAAATAATACAATTGCGGAGAAAAATAACAACAAAATTGAATTTTGTTAAGCCATACCTAAAGCCAACATTAACAAGCGACGGTGAATTCAATGGGCTGACGCCTCTTGAATTGGCAATCGATTGATTTATTCCATATTTGGTTGCGTAAAATGATAGCGGATATGTTCGATTGCATGGAAAACGAATGCGCGCTCCAGATGCGACCGAAATTGATTTTCCGGAGCCAACGTAGTATGTAATTAAATCAGGAACGGTATCATAGCAATCGTCCTCAAATTGATACTGCACACGTTCATACACTGTGTCCGGTTGAATTAAAACCTGCATGGAAAATACAAACAAAATTAAGATAAATCCCAATAATATTCGCGAATTTGTGCAAATCAATTTCAGTGATTTTCAGGCCAATATACAATGTAATTGAACTGTATAGAAAGAATGAACAATTTTTCAAAAAATTGAATGGCTAAATGAAACATTGTTGTGGAGAATATTGTTTCCGAAAGTTAACCGGAATTGAATGCTTCCTCTTCGTTTATTATCGAAAATAAAATCAAATTATATGAGTTTGGCAGAAGTTTATTGTAGCTGAAAGTTGCTTACGCAGGCCTCGATGAACATGGCAACGCTATTTTATGTTGCATGGCTGTCTATTCTCTTGTTTTATTCGAAGAATTTTATTACATAGAATTAGATTGTTCACGAGATCTAAATGAAATTTGATGAATTTTATGGGCCACAATGATGTCTGCGGCCATGAATAGTTAAAATGAAGTAGAACGACCACTCAAGCAAGCAATGCTATCCAATTTCGTAATTTGATTCGAAGAATATTGATTATATCGATTTCTCATAAAAAAAAGGCTCACCTTATTTATGACAAAATGTAGAATAGATCCCTTTGACATGCAAGTCAGCACGAAATTGCCGGGCTGCGATACGCAATCTCGAACTAGAAAATCACCATCCTTTTCAACAAGTTCTTCGGCACGTTGTCGAGGTATTGTCGCATAATACCATGCATGCGAACGCAAATCGGTTTTATCCAATGACAGTTCCCATTCGAGTGCCTTTTTTAGTGCAATCGATTCTTGTGTTGGTGTTATTGGTGTCGATGCACCGCTGCTGCCGTTTGTTGCATCTTTTGTCGATGATTGTTCCTGAAAGTGCCATTATGTACCGTTATTATTTTCCATTAACAAAAATGTGCGCACACTTTCGAAACTTGTTCGTTTCGGTTCGTGGAAAAGCTATTAGAAAAAAAATTATGTTTGCACTACTTACCATATCTAATAGATCGCCCAGACTTACACTTTGTTTCTGTTTGGTTTGTGCTGTGTTTAGTGTTTCATATCTGCAAACAAGAGAAAGTTTTATTCACAATATTATTATCACAACAAAACAGAAGTTTAATATTCCCCCAGCAAAATGAGTAAGTAAAAATTAAATCGACCCATTCGAATTCATTCATTATAATTACTAGCAACTTTACAGGGCATCGTTCGAAATTACCAAGGGGATTTTAAGAGATTTTTAAATTAGGCGTTTGAATCAATAAAAAAACGGAATAGTACATTTTGTCGCTTTGAAAACCCAGTTTCGTTTCATTGAATATTTATTCAGCTTCTTTTGAATGAAACCTCTCAAACAACGGATTTATAATTGTCGGAACACAAGCATTTTTCACTTGAATAATACTGTAAATGAAGCATCACTTCATTGTTGTTTGTTATTTTTCAAATCTCAAACGTGTAAATTATCGCATCATTGCGGAGCTTCAAATAAAATACAATGACAAACACTTTCTCTAACTCTCAGGCGTCATTTTAATTTATATTGTTTTTATTGTTATTTTTTTTTAGTCTTTGTAATGAAAAGTTTTCCAACGGTACATATTTTCATGTTTTATGCATATCGGTAAAATATTTTCCACTTACATTGGTCTGGTAAAAACCAAAGTTTAGCGAACAAATTAAGCTATAAAGGAAATGAATGAATGGTTACCGTGACACTCTACACTATGTGCATTAGCCGCAATGAAACTGCGTTTAAATGAAAGGATGCAATTTATTTTTAGTATATTCAAGTTCTTGCCACTTTAATTTGTCACTTTTCAACGTTAGACAGTTTTGCAAGTGAATGCGCTCGAATCAAAACATTTACGCTGCTGAAGATGCTGAAAAGCAGTCGATAAAAGCCACTTGTAAACATCGTTATTTTAAGTTTTAACCATCTTTCTTGCCGTAATTTCCGTAGAGCCTTTTTTACTTTCATCGTACTCTCTTGGAAGCAAATGGCTAATGATGAATATGATGTCGAAACTAATTGAATTTGTTTACTGATTTTAAGTTTTTGGGGCTTTTGTTTATCTCAAATAGAAATTATTATAAAATTTACGACATCGAATTTTGGCGAAAATGTTCAAAGTTTCTATTCAATTTTCAATGAAAATTGATATTCGATGAGTATTATCATTCTTCAAAAGCATGCAATTACATTGTTGAAACTTTCGAAAATGCTATTTAAACTTGTGTCGTTTGACTTTTGAAAACTAATTTTCGTTTCCGTCATGAAGCAAAATTGGTTCCGATCCATTGAATCAATTGTCTTGATCCACTCAATTCGAAAATGACATTTGCGGGGTAGCATCGGATACATATAGTGCCGTCGATTGTTTAACAAATATTTGCTCGTTTGCCGCTTTGAAATATGTAGCAGCAATTGGATCATCTTTGTTTGTTTTTCTGGCTATGTTTGGTAGGCCTTGCATCTCATCATTATGCAATATCACACCAATGATGTTGAGCTCTTTCTGCATTTTTGGGCTTAAATGGCGAATAACGAAGCGAATGTAAATTTGCATGCGCACATATATTCCCTGAGACTCGATTTAGTGTTTAATCGTTGTGCATAATGTCATGGAGTCCCCTCTCGTTAGTGCACCAAGAGTTGGAATTTTCTCTGTGATTATGTAAATAATTAATTTAGTCCCAGATCCTTTTGTGTGCATAAACAAAACATTGCACATTGACATTGAATGGCGACGGTGTTTAAAATGTGGTGCGTACATACGTTAAAATGGTAATGGAAATTAAGGATGCTCGAATTTAATCAAATGCTTTGTTTTCACTCAAACGACCAAAGTTATACGAGAAAAACATCACCAACCAGAGAGAAGGTGTAATAGTGAAAACGTGTTGTTTATTATCCAAATATGGAATGGTATAATGAGGTTTGCCGTCATTTACATACTTGTTTGCTGTCGTTTGCAGTTTTTGTGTGTGTGTGCACTGTGCGTGTGCACTGGCAAGGGATGATGTAACGACCCCAGTAAAGTGGTGAGTCTCAAATATCCTTGAATCTTTTCGACGATATGAACGAATAAATGTTGCATGTAATGGGAAATAACAAAAAGACGGTCGAATCATCAAAATGAATCATAAAATATATATATATATAAAGAGTGAATCGTCACCCTCAAATTCTGCAGAGTTGGCGTCGTCATTTAGATTTTTTTTTTCATACGTTTTCATCGAGACGTCGTCGTTTAAGACCAACGCAGCGAATACAATTTTTGATTGCTTGTCTGCGTTTCATGTATAATGCAAAAAGTAAATCAATTTTCCCCCATCGCGTTCTGCGTTTTATATGCGATCTGATACTACTTTCCTGTAGGAAAAATTACGTACATACACTCACAACATCTGAAAAACCGGGAACAAAAATATGAGCCGAATGAAATATTCAAAGGAAAGTATGAACAAAAAAAAACGTTATTATGTGCTGTAAATATGAATGCAAATGTCATAAATGTTTATAATTTGTTGCAATGCGCTCTTTTGCCTCCGGTGAAAGAAAAATCGCACAAACTCAAAAGCACTTTGTGGTAGCGAAAACTTTACTCTGTCGAACGACGACAACGCAGATATTAAAGATCAACAACAGAGAGAAAAAAAAAACGGGATAAAGAATGTTGTGTATAAAGAAAGTGCACTTGCACATTGAAAACAATCCATTATTATGGTTTTTTCCGGCCTGATTGTTCATTATTTTTGCAATTTTATGCAGCAAATACGAATATCGGGTTTTATCAGCACATTGCCAACCGAGAAATGTTTACCGAATGGATTCAACAATGTAATAGCGTTGTAAAAGCATTATGTAAGGCATTTTCTTCCCTTTTGTGTCTGTGTGATGGCAAATCTGCGTTTCACCAGCGAGGCTCTTATCCCATTTGAAATTCCAGCTGAATTTATTACAGACGGTTTTTCATTCTTGGCAAACTTTCGGTGAATTTATGAGGGGCATGAGAATAATATGTTTTTTTTTCTTGCATTCATTCTCGTCGCCTGGTGGAATAAAATCACCGTCATTCCGAACTGTTTTTTTCCTCTTTTTGGCATCTTTTTATTGAAGAAGAAAAAAGGCTTTTGTGTCATTTTACTGTGCTCAACCAATTGTTTATTCTGGCAATCATTTGTCTTCATGATGATACAAACAAAGGAACTTTTTAATAATGGTTATACAGTTATGTCAAAAAAAGAGGATTTTTGTCTTTTATTCGAGTTAAGAGGAAAAATCGAATTAAAAACCAATCCATGGTTACAATCATGTCATACTTGATGCACAATTATTGATTGATTGCAATTGTTGAATGGAAAATATTTGAAACGGAGTCTGTTTTATTCAAGCTGACAATAATTCAAAGAAGAAAAAGGTGTCCGAAGAGTTTTTTATGAAAATTCACTCGACGTTATCTCTTCTTCTATTCATGGAACGGTACCATACAGAATAACGTGATGTGAATTTGGAGAAAAAAAGAGTTGCTAAACAGAACGTCAGAACAACTGCTACAAGTGTATCGCGAGACGTGCAACAAACTCTTCAATACTTAGTTCAGGATGACTGCACACTTTCCAAGTGTCTAGAGCGATTTTTTTCCCAATGTTTCATTTGAAAGGACATTAGTTACGTGAGGAGAAATATATAAGAAACGTTTTTTAAAAAAATCGATTGACCACACCCAAGAGAATAAATAGAGAGATACTCCAAAAGAATCGATTAAAACTTTTCTCTCGCCTTTTTTTCCACCGAGTCGTACTTTTTTCCCACTTCAAATCGAACATGTTTCTTTCATTCACAGCGTACATGTGAATCTCATTGAAGCTCGGAAAATATTCGAGAAAAATTCCAATGTATACAGTTTTTGTCGTCTGATCAAATAGTCTAGACAAACTATTTATAATGGAAATGCTTTCAATAATTCAGAAGCAGTAAACGTGAACGGAAATTATCTTTTATTATATTCGATAAAATAGCGTTTCGCTTATCGATCGAACATCTTATGATGAAACGTCGAACATCAAATACCCTTTGAAATGAGTTGATTGACAACTATAAAAGATAAAACTATAAAAAAAACATATTGACGTTCATCAATTTCATGCAAAAATGTTATTTTATTGAAGCATGTCGAAAGGCTTTTAACGTCTTGTCTGTCATCGTACAGTTTAGTTGAACAACAATGACATTGCGAATGTTCGGTATAACACCGAAAAAACATTACACTCAGTTACATAGAAATTGTTTGCACAGGGAATTGATTGTAATTTGTAATCCCATCGTCGTGGTAGTTTGAACATTGACGGGTGATCCTTTTGACACTCAGCTTCTTTAAATTTGTTTTATCACTTGAAAAAGGATGACATCGATTTTAATTACGGTTCGGTGAATTTGTTTGCGTTGATCTTGAAATGCAAATATTGACTAATCGAGAGAAGAGAGAAAGTCCTTGCATATCAAACTGGGTAAATTTAAGCAAACATTGAATCAATCACTTTCCTTTTAAAGAGCTCAGCGACCGAGCATAGTGGCTCGAGAATAAGTGTATGGTGAATGATTTTACCGCTGTTCAAAGGCAAAAGAACATATCATAGCGTGGTGCATGCCATTGAAAGGTAAAATGGCATAAGCCTTATGCCATAAGGAAATCGAATTTGGTGCGATACAGTAGTAACATCTGTTACCGTTATAAATCAATTTGTCGGTGTAAGCAAACCAAGACGGGAATGAAAAACAAAATACATTCGACGGCGTACAAAAGGGACAATGTTGAAAGTGAAATGAAATTCGATTACATGTATTTTATTTTTTCGTTGTGATTTATTTTTGCGCAAAATGTTTGCGTGATTTCTGAACCGTGCCTAACGCAAAGTTTATCGACACAAAGTGTTGTATATACGCTTATTTAACCGTTGAGATGCGATGAAAGAAGAAAAAAATGATCGATTTGCATTTATGTTTCGGGGAATTCGGTTTTAATTAAATTTGGTGTGTCGTTTATATTGAAATATC